GTTCTTACGAGTCTGCATGAGTCTTGTACACCATGACTGCAGTCATGAGATGGGGGCCAACCCCCTAGGATGGATGCTCAGGCCTCGGACCTGGGTTTTGGGAAGGGTTGAAGGGAAGGGAAGAACAATGTGGGGGAATTACTAAGGGGAAAGGGTGGGATTAGCTTATCCCAGCTTCCCACTGTGCCATTGGGGAAACTGAGGCCCAGAGGGGTCCAGGCCTTGAAGTGATTGCAAGTTCAGCAGCATGAAACTGCTCTTTATCTGTGCATTGCTGCCAGGAACAAATGCTAAATGGAGAGTCCGGAGGGTTGCCCAGGCCACTGCGGGACCCGAGCTTTGAGACTGAGGGCTTGGGGACACAGAGCCAGAGCCTTGTCCTGAAATCCTGGAGGGCCCTCCTTGGACAGTAGAGAACCTGTATTCTCTCTCTGAGCCCAGCCTCAGCAGAACCCAGAGTCTTCCAGAGCTGAGATCTTGCCACACCAGCTGCGGTCACAGACCTGCCACACTGGCTTGACCTGGGATTTCCTTACAGCTACAGAAGCCCTGTCCCACCCGACCCTCTGCATCAGAATCTGTCTCACCAAGACGTACACATTAATGTTTGAGGAGCACTGAGACCCCGCCAGGATGATACTCTACCTGCCTGAGGGGACAAGACCTCAGCCCTCAGCCCCCAGCCCCAGAATGTCCTCGCCAGCTCTGTCGCAGACACACGTGGCTCCCTGGGAGGCACAGAAAGTACAAGACTTGGACCTGGCTCGCGATGAACTGGTGGCCCTGGAAGTTGCTACCCTTTATTGAGCCTCTGCCAGCTACCAAGCACATTATCCCATTTAGTCTCACAACAGCACTGGAAGTTTGCTGTTTAATTTAGAGTATCTTGCAGCTTAGGCACACAAAGCACACAGAGGTTAAGTAAATTGCCCAAGGTCACCCAGCATATACGTATGCAGGAGCTGGGATATGAATCCAGAGCTGTCCCCAGCACCAGAGTCTAGCCATTTATAGTCAGGGTGGACATGGGGGCAGATAGTGGCTCCTCTCACCCCTGAAACCAGAGCCCCAGCCCCTGTGAGCCCTCACAGTTGGTTGTCCTGGCCATGGTGAATCTGACCTCTCAAGAGCCTCCCTTTCCGGAGCAGAGGCCTGCGATTCTCCATGCTGGAGAGCCCGCCAAGAGGGATTCTCCTACAACTTTCCAGAACACAGCAGTTCTGGGGCCAGGCCAAGCTAGCCATGTACAGCTGGAAGAGGCTCTCTCCCCCAGATGCTGAGTGACTAGAAGCCAAGAGGGAGGGAGTTCTGGAATGGTCTGGAGCAGCTGGAGGTGAGGCCTGTGGGGGCTGGGGCGCGGCCTGGGAAGAGGGACCAGCGCACAGAGTATTCTGAACCGCAGAAAGTATTCTGTTCACTCTAGGAGAAAAACAGGAGTGTTGTTCAAAACAGCCAGACGCCAGGCCCAGTTGCCCTCGCCTGGTTTTTACTCTTAAACACCTTCGCATTTCATGGCTGTTCGGAAGAGAGAGAAGTCAGCCAGTTGTCCATTCAGACACAAGACAAGGCAGCAGCCGACAACCAAAGGCAAATATTTTCCATCCTGAGGAAAGCCTCCCGGGTGGCCCCAGGCCTGCCTCTGGAGCAGTGGCTGGCTGGTGGCTGGCTCTCCCTGAAGGTCGCTGCTTCTGGTTAGCAGACTGCGTGTCTGGGGGACTGGCCAGGATCCACCCCCACCCAGGGAGCACTGGGGGCAGCGGGGCGGCCATTCTAGGCCCACAGGAAATGGAAGCTCCCTTCCTGGCGTGAGGGCAGCCAGGCCTCCAGGGAGGCCAGGACAGCGTGGCCCCTACAGTTCCCCGTCTTGAAACCCCAGCCCTTGATATCAAAATGGGACATGTTAGTCTGTTGTTGGGGAGGGGGATATAACTGCCCAAAGCTCTTAGGTCCTGAGTGAATTTAATTTTTTTCAGCACAACAGTAGCCACACACAGTTGAAGAGTGGCATATGGCTACATGGGGTTTGTATTTGGTCTACAGGTGAATGAACAAGACCCACGGGGACTTAGGCCTCATTATCATAATTCTGCAGCCCCAGGAGCCAACCCCCCACATGGAAACCCTTAATAGGTAGCCTGGCCAAGTGGGTAGCGAGAAATCAGTGATGGCAGGCCCTGGGACTTCTCTCTAGTCCCCTCCCCACCCTTTTTTCTTTCTTTCTTTCTTTCTTTTTTTAAATACAAGAGTTTTACTCTCTTCCCCAGGCTGGAGTGTAATGGTGCAATCTTGGCTCACTGCAACCTCCGCCTCCTGGGTTCAAGCAATTCTCACGCCTCAGCCTCCCGAGTAGCTGGAATTACAGGCACACGCTACCACGTCCAGCTAATTTTTGTATTTTTAGTAGAGACGGGGTTTCACCATGTTGGCCAGGCTGGTCTCAAACTCCTGACTTCAAGTGATCCACCCACTTTGGCCTCCCGAAGTGCTAGGATTATAGGCGTGAGGCATCGCGCCTGGCCACCCACCCTTTTTATCTCCCAAGGAAACCAGTCTTCTGAAAATTTCAGAGGAAACCAGGACCTCCTCGCCCATGTATTTTACCTGGAGGTGCCTGTAACCTGTATTCACAAAAGCCCCACGGGCATCTCCCTGATTGAGGTCCCACCCACAGGGCCTAGGACAGGGGGACCAGGGAGGGCCCCAGAGGCTGGAGTTTGGAATACCCTTCTCTTCTCTGGAGCTCAGTTTCCATGTCTGTGAAATGACAGGTGATGTCACCTCCCAGAAGGGCAGTTTGAGAGAAGTAAAATCTATTGAGGCACCTTGGACACAGGAGGGGGACAGACATCATCAACTTTTGAGGGTGCTGCAATTACACGGCTCCAGCAGTCTGAGCCTTACCAAGACCTTTCCAGATCTGAGGGAAGCCCATGCCCAGTGTCTAGCTGGCTGGGGGAGAAACCCCTTGAGAACCCCCACTCTGTAATGCTAGGGTCTGCATTTGCTTAGGAGGCTTTGTCCCTATCTCTCCCCTTCTGGACCAGCCTGGCTTCCTGGGCAGGCCCAAGAGTGTCCCAGGCGCAGCACTCAGAGTCAGTGCAGTCTTTAATCTGCATTCCACAGGCATCCTCACCCCCTCCCCTCTCAGGAGCTAGGCACCTGCCACACTTCTTACCTCTCTGCAGGAATCTCCACCCCCACCAGAGGCTGCCCTCTTGGGGTAGGGGCCCAGCCCTTGAGGCCTGTCTCCTCCAGCCCAGCTAAACCAGAGAGAACTCCATCTCAGGTTCCCAAATAGGCGGTGTTCTTCCCCGCCACCAAGCTAGGCAGCTCCTGGTGGCTGGAATGCCCTGCTCCTTTCTTTCTCAGCCCACCACTTCCTCCAGCCTTCCCTCCTCTGTGCTGCAGCACGGAGTCTTACCCCACCTCCTTCAGGAGGGAGGTGCTCACGGGTTCCTATGCCTGTGGGTCTCCAGGATTGGGCACTGAGCAGTCTGGAAAATGTCAAGTGAGGGAGGGATCCAGTCAAAGCCCCAGGGGGGCCTCTGAGCTCAGCCAGTTCTGCTGCTGCTCCCCACCTCTGGGGGGAAAGACAGGCTGGGGTTTGGATGGGTGGCCTTTTGGAGAGCAGAGTAATGGGAGCCGACTTGAACTTCCTGCGGCCTCATTCCCTGACTGGGGCCGGAGGGTAGTCTGAGCTGCTGGCCTGGGGTGCTGGGCCGCAGGGGAAGGGGCTGGGAGAGAGGGATCTGGGTGAGTCTAAGGGAGGGTGATACTGAAAAGAGGGGACGGCAGCACTAAACTGCCTTGGGGGAGTCCCCACTGTGCGCCCTTGGCACTTCCCCAGCCCCCTGGCGCGGTCACAGGCACGGGTGGGTCAGCCTCAAAGTTGTTGGTAAGGCCAGCCCGCTGCTGTTTAAATGGTGTGTTTGTTTGGAGTGGCTTAGGGAGGAAACTGGAAATGGGGGGGCTCAGCGCCCCACTTGGCGCCACCGCTGCCGGAGGGTCCGCGTGTTAGAAGCCCCAGCTTCGCAAATGACCGAAGAAGGGTGGGCGTTGAGGAGGGAAGGCCGAAAACCAAGGGGGGGGTTCGGGGCCCCGGGCCGGCCGCCCCCTTTTTGCGGGGGGAGACCAGGAGCCGCCTCTCGCAACCACTCTGCGCGCGGGGTGGGAGGGAGAGAGGGAGGCGAAGGGACGACAGCGCCGGGCTCCCCGCCCCCATCCCACCCGGTTCCAATATTTCGCAGAAAGGCACGCGGCTCCTAATCGGTCCTTTCCAGGCTGAGATTTAGCCGCGCGATGCCCGCGCAGGGGCGGGGGCCGCGGGCCGGGGGAGGCGCTCAGAGTCCGGAGCCGCCGAGCGAGGTGAGGAGCCCGCGTCCTCGGCTGGTGGAGCGGGCGGGCGGGCGCGCAAACCCGAGAGGCAGATATAGAAAGGGGGGCAGGTTAAAAATAACCCTCTCCGGCTGGGAAGCTCGCGCGCGCTCTCTCGCCTCGTTCGGTGCCAGAGGACTCCAGGGGAGGTGGCGTTGGGGAGGGCAGAGCGGGATTCCCCCTCCTCCGCCGCGCGGGGTGCCCGCCTGCGCGCCGCGGTTGCACGTGTGCGGGGCCGCGCGCCCGGGCCCCCTCTGCAGCCGGTCGGTGGGTGCCCCCTCCCCAGGACCGGGCGCATCTGGCAGTGGCCCCCCGCCCGCAGCCTTGCGCGGCTGGAGGGAAGCGCTCTATTATTCATTATTTACGAGCGTTAATAGGTTTGAGCCACGGGGCGGGGGGGGGTCCGGGGGACGGCGAGGACGCAGTGGGGACCGAAGCGTTAGGGGAAGGGGTGGGAGGGAGGGGGAAGGGCGGGGGCGGGGCTGCGCCGCGGCCTGGAGGAAGAGGTCTCGGCCTGGGGCCCTGCGAGCCGGGCGCAGCTCTCCGCCGGGTTTCTCCACACCGCCGGCCGTCGAGGTCGCTCAGGGCGCCAAGAGGGCAGCGCGGGCCTTAGATTTTGCTCTTGGCTTCTGTCCTTCGCGTCCTCGCCCTTACAGAGGCACGGGGAGGGGGCTGCGGGGGCGGTACGCCCCGCCCTGCGCGCCCCTCGCCGCCGCCGCGTCCCCGCTGCAGCCCCGGCCTCATTTATCATCATCTTTGGTCAAGTGGAGTGTGCAAGGAACAGCTGCTTCACTCGGCTGACTTCCGAGGGCGGCTACGGAGAGAATCAGGGAGATGAATGATGGGGGCTGGGGGGGCCACTGCCCCCCGGGGTCCCCGCGCAGGCGAGAGGGAGGCGGGGAGCGTCCAGGGCAGCCTCCGCCTCATGGCGAGCGCAGCGCCCCCTTCCTCTCTCCTAGCGCCTGCAGCGACTGGGGACGGGGGGACGGAGGACGGGGCCCGCCCCAGGAGAGGACTGGGCGCCGGGGGGCGCCCTTCGCCGGCGGAGAACTGGCGGGCGCGCTGCCGGCGGAGCCCGAGGTCGCGGTGACCTTGCTGGGGTCAGCGGGCTGGGCTGCGGAGGCGGCGGCGCGGCGTCTTTGGTGGCGCTTTCCGGATTGGCGCAGAGGCCGGGAAACAAGGCGGGGGCGGGCGGGGGAACACAAATAGAAGGTGAAATTTTACCTGCCCCTGAGGGAGTCCTGCGGATTTTCTCCGGCAGCAGCAGGCGCTCTGCCTTTGTCTTACACGGCTGAAACATCTGTTGCAGAGGGGCGGAGAGGCCGCAACAACCCCCACACACCCTGCGCTGCTCCTGGTTCCCCTCTGCCCCAGCCGTGCTGCAGGACACCCGGCGCCGCGTTAACCCTGCTCGCGCTGGGGCGCGCGCCCGGCACCCGCTGCCGCAGTCCACGCCTCGCGCGGGGCCTCCCGCCACCGCCCCGGATCGGGTCTTGGCGGGGGCGCCCGGTGACCCCCCTCCACCTCGAAGAGGTGCTGAGGCGTAGGCGGGGGCGGAAAGGGTTAATGGCCTAGTCGCAGACCCTAATTGTCAGAGCCGGCCCCGCTTCGTTTCAATTACCCTAAGTAGAGACTGAATGCGCAATTAACGAAGTCAGCTTGCCAACTGGAAAGCCGGCCCCGCTTTCACGTTGAGCAGAATACTCCACCAGCTGACTTGGACGAAGCAATTTCCTCCTCTCTCTCCCCTTTTTTCTCTCCCTCTCTCTTCCAATCCCCCTCCCTCTTTTTCTCTCTCCTTAATAATAAAATTATACCAAGCAGTTTGCGGTGTGGCAGGCGGCCAGAAAAGCGTTTCTTTAAACGCCGCCGTCTCACAATTAGGCAGCAAGAGGATTTGACACGCCGTGGCGGCCTGACAGGCGGCTTCCTCCCCTGGGGCCTGGGGGGAGGGAGGGGGTGCCAATTCCCCGCTCCCCCAGGTGGAACCGGGACTGGGAGGGGCTGGCCTGCTTCGCCTCTCCGGCTCTGCAGCGAGGGGGTGTCAAAGGCAGGGAAGCGAGGGGCGGTTCCGCCTAGGCTGGGGAAGGCGGAAGGCAGCGGCACATTCCACGACTTCTCTGGGAAGCTGTCGTATCCAGGAGGGAGACCTTGTTCCCTTTCTCTTTGACAGACAGGCATTCTGAGGCACAGAGCTGTGGAGGGATCTCAGCCCTGCTGGGCGTCCTGCACAAGTCACTGGCCCACTCTGGACTTCTTCCATTAATCCCTCGGCAAAATGAGGGGGAGATTTGACCTAGAATGTGCTCTGCAAAAAGTGTCTTCTAGTGGCTCATTGCCCTTAACAGCTGGTCTTGCAGGCCAGGAGAGGGAGGTGTAGGCAGCACCACATAGAAGCAAGTCGGAGACCCCTATCCGGTTTGGGTGGCAGACCCATGGTCCTCAAGGCACACAGGAGGGTGGCTCGGCAGGAAGCCAGGATGCAGGCAGCTCATAGATGGGGTGACTTTGCAGGATTGCCAGGGATTGGCGCCATGAGGACAGAGGACACCGAACACTAGCTGCAGCAGCCGGGCCACTTGAGTTCGGGGAAGGCTCAGAGAATTTGGCAGAGGTGGGAGGTGACTGCAGGGGCCCCCATTTGCTCTTTGCAGCTCCCCAGCCCCACCCAGGCTGCTGCTTACATGGGGTGCCTTCATCCTCCCTCACATAGTTAAGCCCTCCTTCTTCCAGCCTTCCCTGATATCCTTCTCTCCCCACCTCACAGCCTTCTGGGTGTCACTACATCTCAACACCACCATGGCAGTTGTCTCTGTGTGTGTGTGTCTGCCTCTGGAGAGCAAGGGCCATGTGCTGTTTCCTGTGTGTCCCCGGCACCCAGCTCGGCCCACATCCAGACTGTAAGCTGAGCAGAAATGTGCTCCACAAGTGAACCAGTGCAGGCACCAGGGGTTCTGGAGGAGACAGCACACACTTTGTCTCTCCTTCCTGATTGGCTGTTGCATGCATCCTGGCCTCCAGGCCCCTCATCCTCAAACCTCTCTCTGGGTATCATCCCTTTGGTCTGGGTTGAGGGTTAAATGCACCCAACACAGGGCCCAGCGCTCCGATCCATCTCGTCTGTTTATTTATCCAAGCAATACTGAACGGACATCGACTCTGGGGCCATTTTTTAAGCTTGGAGCTTAGGGTCAAACAGAGGAAGTCCCTGCCCTCCTCAGGCTACATTCTAGTGAGGGAGGCACATGTGAAACAGCTTATTGTACCATCAATTATGTAATTACCGCTTCGATGAGAGCCACCCAGGAGCCTGGCGGGGGACCCAGGAGAGTGGGGGTGGGGCCTCGCCCGGTGTCTGGTATGGAATGCCACAGAGGTTCTCACAAGCTCTGGGAACCTCCAGCCTTTGCAGTCCCCCTTCTCTCTGCACCTCCTTTCGAAGGCCACTGAGTGCCCCTCCTGCAGGGGTCTGCCCTGTCTCCCCCCTGAGTCCAGGGCACTGCTCTCCTGCGTTGCTCTGCTCATCTGTGCTGGGCCCAGAGCTTCTCCTGGGCCAGGGAGCGCTGTTCCTCCTGTTCTGGGTGCCATCGAGCCCATGCAGATCCCCTTTGCATCAGTTCTGTCAGCATTTGACCCCAGGAGCTTGTGATCAAATTTAGGCCACAGACAGATTCTCTTGAATTCTCAAGTATGAAAGAAAAAATTTTATACTTGGTTGATAACATTTTCTTAAATGAGAGATAATCCCTTTTTATAAAATCCTGATTTCTGTCTTTTTCAAGGGAAAAGCTCAGAAGCTTTGGCACCCTGGCCTGCCACTCTCAAGTGGCCACAGTCTGCTGGTGCTGAGAGGGGCTGCGGGCCCCCCCCCCACTTTATTTGGGAGCAGGATCGCCAGTTTGCCTCCATGCCCACCTGCCCACATCCCTGCCAGGCCTCGGGAAGATGTTCTTTTGTCAAATGAATGAAGCAAAGCAGTGGCCACCCCTGATCTCCTGCTGCCTGGCCCACCCACATGTGCTCTGTGCTGCCACTCCACTGCTCCTTCTGGATATTTTCGCAGGGTTACTGTGACATTTTGTGCATTATTCATTCAATAAATATTTATTGTTCTGGACAATGGGGAATAGCTGTGAACAAAACAGGCAGAAATCCTTGCTCTCATGGAACTTTTGTTCTAAAGAGGAGACCAATAATAAAGCAAGTCAAGTTTGATTACAACAAGGAGAGTCGTGAGGGTGCAAGGGGTGCTGTTTCAAACAGTAGTCAGGGAAGGCTTCTTGAGAAGGTAACAGAGGAGCCAAGACTTGGAGCCAGGGTAGAGAGTTGTGTAGGTATCTGGGAGTGGTATTTCCAGAGGTAAAAGGCTTGCCCAAGGTCACACAATCAGCCAGCAGTCAGACAAACCCACAGGCTTGGCACCTCTGTGTTTCCACTTCCCCAGGGAAGTAAGTCATGGACTGTGGGGTACGGAGGACAAGGCTGGGGCCAGAGAGTCCCGTGCCTCCTGCCTCCCTTAAAGTCAGCAGCCAGGCCAGGCGCGGTGGCTCACGCCTGTAATCCCAGCACTTTGGGAGGCTGAGGCGGGCGGATCACCTGAGGTTGGGAGCTCGAGACCAGCCTGACCAACATGGAGAAACCCTGTCTGTACTAAAAATACAAAATTAGCCGGGCGTGGTGGCACATGCCCGTAATCCCAGCTACTCGGGAGGCTGAGGCAGGAGAATCCCTTGAACCCGGGAGGTGGAGGTTGTGGTGAGCCGAGATTGCGCCATTGCACTCTAACCTAGGCAACAAGAGCGAAACTCTGTCTCAAAAAAAAAAAAAAAAAAAAACCCCAGCAGCCACACCTAGCCTATCTCATCCTTATCATGCAGCCTCCTACAAGGGCAGGAACTCCTGGGGCTTGGGGTGGGGAGAACGGAGCTGGCTGGGAACACCTCTGTGGGGCCCATCTGGCCCCTGTGCCAGGGTCTGGACCAGCCCCTTGGTCTTGCTAGGCCCGGGACTGATTGTGTCTGATGGTATCAGCCTGGCCTTGTTGGGGAAGGACAGGGGCTGTGTCCCCCCGCCAGCAGGACCCAGACGACTGCCTGGGCCACCAGACCCTGGCCCTGTTAACTGTCTGCGACCCAGCAATCAGCACCCCCTCCCCCCTTTTTCCCTTTTCTTCATTTTGACAGACATGGAGAGGTGGTGATGCTTTTTGTTCAGTGGTGAATAAAGTGATCTAAAAAAAAAAAATTATTGTCCACAAGAGACTGATCAGTACAGAACTGATAATAGGTGAGCTCTTCCCAGCAGCCTTCCCTGGGGGACCTTGGAATGCCTGCAGCTGCTGCAGAATCCCCTCTTGTTCCCCAACACCTCACAGTGGAGGTGGGACGGCTGGCCATCTGCCCCTCTTTGCTGGACTGTGGGCCCTGTGGCCCAGGTCTCCCGGCCTCTCGATGGCTGTATCCCAGGAATCAGTACCAAGGGTCAGTGGGGTGGGATGGAGAGCAGAGCACAGCTTTAGAGTTAGGGCACCTGGGCACCTAGGCAGAGGGCCTGGCTGTGCCTGTGAACAGCAGGTGGGGCCAGGCCAGCAGGTGGGCGTGGTTAGGCCCTGCAGGGATCCCATTCAGCTGGCTTAGCAGGTCTCAGCTGTCTCCACAGCTGGGTCCCTGGAGGAGACGGTGTTGGGGGCTGTGAGGGGAGGCTCCTTAAACACCTGAAGAGTCCAGACACCTCTGCTCCCCGCTCCGCTCTGATGCACTCTGAAGGGCCCAGAGCCCCCAGCCACACCAGGGCTCCCCCAATCTCAACTGACCCTGGCTAGGGCTGCCCTTCTGCTTCTCACCCCATCACTGGCCTCCTGATATTTGGGACCCACAGACCCTATAGAGAGGGCCTGTTGGTCATTCCGTGGGATTCTTCCTTGAGCATGGGGGGCCATGAATGAGGATGGATGCATATCCAAATGTTGCCCACAGGGAGTGGTCTGGAGGGGCTCCCTGGTCCTCTGGGGTTCCTGATGTCCTAGGAGGGTCCTCCATCTGCCCCAAGCAGGCCTCTCAACCCGCGGACCCTAACCTGACCCAGAGGCCTGTGGGCACCCAACCCTCTTGTTTCGTGGGCTCCTTGGAAACTCACCCCCTTCCTCCTTTAAGCCAGGCCCCTAGCATATGGAATTGAGCCCATAGGACAGCAGTGAATCCGGCGAATGATTTCTCATTTTCACCAAGTCTCCTGTATTGATTATTCATCACCCACAACAGATGGGGAGGCCCGAGGGGTTCCACCTTCTCCACCCGTGCCTGGACTCCCCCTCTGCCCTGTCCTCAGTTTCCAGAGCCCTGGTATACTCCTCCTTCATCCTCAGGTTCCCAGTCTGCCCTGTCCTCAGCTTCCGGTAGTACTGGTACACTGCTCCTTCATCCTCAGTTTCTCAGACCTTGAGTGGGTTGGGTTTGTAAATTTTTTTCTTGCAGCTACAGATTATGAAACCAGATCATAAAACCACCTTGGGTAAGTAGGTGGGATGGAACCAGTGGCCTCAGAGCTGCTGCTGGGGATCAGGAAGCCCCCAATCCGTTTCCTTCTCCCTCTCTTCCTGTCTCCCCTCAGCCTCCCTCTCTCCCTCTCTCTTAGGAAAAAATTCCAGCTACCACCTCCCAGCTGGGCTCCCTGAGGAACCATAGCAGCTCTGGCCCACACTGTGCCCATTTCCCTGACTGGGCCCTTAAGCCTGGGGTCTGAGGAGACTTTAGGCCTAGTGACCTCTCCCTGAGGCTGCCCAGGGGACAGTAGTTGCCTTGGTGATAGCGGGCGGCTGGTGAACATCACTGCCCATTAGTGGACCCACCCGAGGTGGGTCTGGCTGCTTAAAGATGAGGACAGCATAAAAATAAAAGTGAGATAGGCCGGGCGCGGTGGCTCAAGCCTGTAATCCCAGCACTTTGGGAGGCCGAGACGGGTGGATCACGAGGTCAGGAGATCAAGACCATCCTGGCTAACACGGTGAAACCCCGTCTCTACTAAAAAATTACAAAAAAACTAGCCGGGTGAGTTGGCGGGCGCCTGTAGTCCCAGCTACTGGGAGGCTGAGGCAGGAGAATGGCGTGAACCCGGGAGGCGGAGCTTGCAGTGAGCTGAGATCCGGCTACTGCACTCCAGCCTGGGCGACAGAGCAAGACTCCGTCTCAAAAAAATAAAAAATAAAAAATAAAAAAAATAAAAGTGAGGACCCTGGCCTGGGGCTCAGGCTGTCACAGGCTGCAGCTCAGCCCCTTGCCCCACAGCAGCTTTGGCTTGCATCCTGCTCCAAGAGACTGTCCCTCCAAAGTGGGAGCCCTCCGCAGGGGTTCAGGACAGGGGTGTCCACCCGTGGTCCAGTCACTGCCGCTGCTACTGAGGGTGTCCTGCATAGGTGCTTCGCTGTGGATGGGCTCTGCTCTGGGGTCCTAAGCAGGGCACTTGTCCTGAACCTCACTTTTTTCTGTAAAGTGGGAGGAGGGATTAATCAAATTGTTGTTTGAGAAAGCCGCACAGAGTTGGGTGTTCTGCAGCCGCCTTGCTCTCGCCCCACAGTCCTGTAGATTTCTGGAGGGAAAGGGCTAAGGTCTTTGCCTAAAAGAAGGGCTATGCCCTAGGTGTGCCATGCTGCCAAAGGCCTTTGAGAGCTGCTGGCCTTGTACCAGAGGGTAGCTGCGGTTTCATTTTGTCCCCACTATTTTCATGGCTTGGAGTGAGGACACCCAGTGCTGTGTCAAGGGGAATCCTGGTGCCCTGGGTGCTGTGTGGCTCCAGTCATGCTCCCCTCTGCGCCTGGCCTGCCTCCTCTGTCCAGCGCTGAGACGACTAAGCTTCAGGAACTGATTCTAAGGGTGAAGTGTTCGTGTATCTGGTGCTTAGAGGATGCACTAGACTCTGCCCCTCCTGCCTTCTAGTTTCAGCAAGAACTTTGGAGATAAGGTCTGGACCAAGTGTCTGGGAGGAGAGGCAGGTTGGGGAGAAAGAGATGGATTGGAGTGAGTGGGGACCCTCTGGGCAGTGTGGTTGAGCTGGACCATGAGGAGTGAGCCCAGTGGGTGGGGGGTGCCCTCCTCAGTCCCCACCTACCACCCCTTCTCCCTCCAGCCCAAGCCACAGGCCAAACCCACAATCTGCCCCCTAGGCCACTTCTTCCCTGCCTCCAGGTTCAAAGGTCACCATCGCTCTGCCAGGGGGACTCTTTCCGCCCCCTCCTCTCCTAAGGCCAACCCAGCCCAGCCCTGCTGCCTGCTTCTCTTCCCCTCTGTGTCCTGTCCTAGTGCTCTTGAAAAGTAATCATAATCATAATAATTAATAACAACAGAGCCCATAGCAGGCCTGAGGCAGCCCTTAAAGAGGCAGTGCCCCATTTTCTCCCAGCAGAGCTGGCGGTGGGACCCAGCTGGCACTGAGAGGCGGCCTGTGCCTTTGTTCCCATCCCTCCCTTTGCCTTGGATTCCAGAGTGGTGTTGGGGCGAGCATTTTTGCCTGCGTTCTCCATCAGCACTGGGCTTCTTGTGTTTTAATTGAACTGTCTTTTCTTAGCGATAGATGCTTTCACCGCATCCAGCTGCTCGTGTGTATTGGGAAACCTGCCTGTAATACAGCTCGGCTAAATTAAAAGACGCAGCAGCTGGACCGATTAAACAGGGAGGGAGGGATGCAGACGGACAGGCAGGGAGGGGATACTGGTAATAGCACCCCCTCACTGTCTCTGTCTCTCTTTAAATAATGTTTCTGGTAATGCATTTTGGAGAATGTGAAAAAAAATAAAAAATAAAGCCGTAGAAATGTTAATGATATCCACAGGACACTCAGCAGGAAATGAGAGTGATCTGGGACTAATAAAAGCCGAAATGTAATTTGTGCAGATATACGAGGCGCAGCGTTCAGAGTGGTCCTGGGTTTGCACATTCTGGGCTCATAAACATGTGCCTGGGGAGGGCAGGGAGTGGGCGCCGTGCCCTCGGCCTGGGCACACGCTTGCCTGGGCTGCCCTGTGGCGGTCTGGCCAAGGCAGGAGCATGAGGCTGCCCACCTGGCAGGGAGCTGCCAGACCAGAACCAAGTGCCGTCCCCAGCTCCTCTGGGTTGGCGCGTCTCGGCAGGAACCTCCTGTAATGTTTTATCTGAGCCACCAGGGTTAGGATTGAAGTGGGTCAGAAGGGCGGGCACGCGGCTTGTTAGGGATGCCTGCGACAAATCCAGGGAGAGGAGCTGGAGCAGAGGGAAAGCGACTTTGATGAACTGGTGGGCAGGGGCTCGCCTCATGGGAAAGTGGCTGGCCCCACACTAGGCTGGGTCTCCTGTATTCGTGGGCCAGGGCAAGCTGACTCCAGAGAGCAGTGGTACCAGGACTGGGCCGACGGGCTTCTGGGGGCCATCTGGCTGCCCTGGGCTTGCCCTGCTCTCAGGCAGATGGAGGCCCTCTGTCCCCTTCCCTGCATCCGTCCGCAGACACTGAATGAGGAAGGCACTTTGGTGGGGTGTGGGCCAAGGAAGAAGGGTGAATGGAGGAGCCCCCCCGTTCTCCCCCACTCCCCACCTTTCTGCCTCTTCCCTGTTTCCCCCCACCTGACTCTGTGTGCCCCTCTTCCCCTCTCTTTGTCCCTTCCTGACCCCTTCAACAACCTGGAATCTTTGTAGCCTGAGGCAAGTCACCCTTTCCTTTTGGAGCATTTGGGAACCAGCACTGGAAAGTCCCCTATCCCCTTCTGGGCCACACAGGCCGACCTGAGCCCCTTCTTCCTGCCTCCAGGCCAGCGGGCCAGCGTGGTTCTGGGTAAATCCCAAACCCTCTGGGACTCGGCCGATGGCCAGCCCCTCCATGTACTTCCTCCAAAACCTGGGCATTCCTCTTTCTTCCATCCCTCTTTGAGGGGTCTTCTGGGGTGACCCGGCCAGCAAGTCAGCTGGGAGAGCCTTTACCCTGGATGCCGGGCCGGCAGATGCTCTGCTCTGAGAGGCTCCCACCCCGGGTCCTTTCCTGCCCCAGGATTCTGCTCTGTGGGCAGGGGCAGGTTAGACCCCCACCTGAGCCCCAGCCCCTCAAATCATAACCACACGGGCTCTTGGGTGTTGCCTGCCCCAGCCCCCACCTGCGGAGGTGGGGAGGGGCTGGCCAGGAGGGACAGGGCTGCGTCGCCCCATGCGGGTGGGGCTGGGCTGTGCCCTTCCGTGGCCGTGGCCGTGGACTGCATCTCTAGCCCCATTAGTATGCACTCCCTCACTCTGGGCCACGTAATCTGTTTATGCACCTATGATATCAAAAACAGGAGGCAGGTGCTGCCGTCTTGCGTTCCTGGGAGTCAGAGGAGGGGACGTTTTATGTCTACAGTGGCTTGGCAGCCCCTAATCGACGTCTGCTAGAAGGAACAGACAGATTCCAGATGGCGTGGCAGTGATAGAGGAGGTGTGTGTGTGTGCATGCGTGTGCGTGTGTGTGTGAGCATACATATGCCTGTGTGCACGCGTGTGTGTGTGCTCAAGCGGCCTCCCTGGGATAGGAGCAGACCCTCCTCAGTCCCCGGCATGGCTGGGTCATGCTTGAACACGGCCACGAAGGGACTAGATTACAGGATCCAGCAGGCCCCAGGGGACGAGGGAGCGGGAATTGCTCTGCTAAATGCTTTTGAGCTGTCAGGAAGGGCTGGGAGTGGTGGGTGGGGGACAGTGGGGAGGAGCTGGCGGTGAGGGTGCGGGTAGCTCCCCAGTGACCTGGTGCTGGGCAGCCGGTTTTGCCTCCCGTGTCGGTGGCTGTCCCTGGCAAGGCTCAGCTGCAGGCAATGTGGGAGCGGGAATTACAGAGCACACCTCCCTGACACAGAAGTTGTCAATATGCGCACAGCTGGTAGGGAGGCTCAGGCAAAGGGGGGAATATTAAGAGCTGCGCGGGGGAGCAGGCAGGGTGGGGAGGTGGGTGGGAGGGTGCTTTCTGAGGCAAAAGGAAGTGGCCCATCTGAATCGCTCATCCTCTGCCTCCTCCCTGCCCGTCCTCCCTCCCTCCCTCCCTCCCTTTTTCTTTTCACAGATAACCAGCCCGAGTCATGCAGTCTTTTCGAGAAAGGTGTGGTTTCCATGGCAAACAACAGAACTACCAGCAGACCTCGCAGGAAACATCACGCCTGGAGAATTACAGGCAGCCGAGTCAGGCCGGGCTAAGCTGCGACCGGCAGCGGCTGCTCGCCAAGGAATATTATAACCCGCAGCCTTACCCGAGCTATGAGGGTGGCGCTGGCACGCCCTCTGGCACAGCAGCCGCAGTGGCCGCCGACAAGTACCACCGAGGCAGCAAGGCCCTGCCCACGCAGCAGGCCCTGCAGGGGAGGCCGGCTTTCCCTGGCTATGGCGTCCAGGAGAGCAGCCCCTACCCGGGCCGCTATGCTGGTGAGGAGAGCCTGCAGGCTTGGGGTGCCCCACAGCCACCACCCCCACAGCCGCAGCCCCTACCAGCGGGGGTGACCAAGTATGATGAGAACTTGATGAAAAAGACAGCAGTGCCCTCCAGCAGGCAGTATGCAGAGCAGGGCGCCCAGGTGCCCTTTCGGACTCACTCCCTGCACGTCCAGCAGCCACCGCCGCCCCAGCAGCCCCTGGCATACCCCAAGCTCCAAAGGCAGAAGCTGCAGAACGACATTGCCTCCCCTCTGCCCTTCCCCCAGAGTACCCACTTTCCTCAGCATTCCCAGTCCTTCCCTACCTCCTCCACCTACTCCTCCTCTGTCCAGGGCGGTGGGCAGGGTGCCCACTCCTATAAGAGTTGCACAGCGCCGACTGCCCAGCCCCATGACAGGTCACTGACCGCCAGCTCCAGCCTGGCCCCGGGGCAGCGGGTCCAGAATCTTCACGCCTATCAGTCGGGCCGCCTCAGCTATGACCACCAGCAGCAGCAGCAGCAGCAGCAGCAGCAGCAGCAAGCCCTTCAGAGTCGGCACCATGCCCAGGAAACCCTCCATTACCAAAACCTTGCCAAGTATCAGCACTACGGGCAGCAAGGCCAGGGCTACTGCCAGCCAGATGCAGCTGTCCGGACCCCGGAGCAGTACTACCAGACCTTCAGCCCCAGCTCTAGCCACTCACCCGCCCGCTCCGTGGGCCGCTCGCCTTCCTACAGCTCCACGCCGTCGCCACTGATGCCAAACCTGGAGAACTTTCCCTACAGCCAGCAGCCGCTCAGCACCGGGGCCTTCCCTGCAGGGATCACTGACCACAGCCACTTCATGCCCCTGCTCAATCCCTCCCCAACGGATGCCACCAGCTCCGCAGACACCCAGGCTGGCAACTGCAAGCCCCTTCAGAAGGACAAGCTCCCCGAGAACCTGCTGTCGGATCTCAGCCTGCAGAGCCTCACGGCGCTGACCTCGCAGGTGGAGAACATCTCCAACACCGTCCAGCAGCTGCTACTCTCCAAGGCTGCCGTGCCGCAAAAGAAAAGTGTCAAGAATCTCGTGTCCAGGACCCCGGAGCAGCACAAAAGCCAGCACTGCAGCCCCGAAGGCAGTGGCTACTCGGCCGAGCCCGCAGGCACACCGCTTTCAGAGCCGCTGAGCAGCACGCCACAGTCCACGCATGCAGAGCCACAGGAGGCCGACTACCTGAGCGGCTCCGAGGACCCACTGGAGCGCAGCTTTCTCTACTGCAACCAGGCCCGTGGCAGCCCTGCCAGGGTCAACAGCAACTCGAAGGCCAAGCCCGAATCTGTGTCCACCTGTTCCGTGACCTCTCCTGATGACATGTCCACCAAATCTGACGACTCCTTCCAGAGCCTGCACAGCAGTCTCCCACTCGACAGCTTCTCGAAGTTCGTGGCAGGTGAGCGGGACTGTCCGCGGCTGCTGCTCAGCGCCCTGGCACAGGAGGACCTGGCCTCCGAGATCCTGGGGCTGCAGGAAGCCATCGGTGAGAAGGCCGACAAAGCTTGGGCTGAAGCACCCAGCCTGGCCAAGGACAGCGGCAAGCCGCCCTTCTCACTGGAGAACCACAGCGCCTGCCTGGACTCTGTGGCCAAGAGTGCGTGGCCCCGGCCTGGGGAGCCGGAAGCCCTGCCTGACTCCTTGCAGCTGGACAAGGGCGGCAGTGCCAAGGACTTCAGCCCAGGGCTGTTTGAAGACCCTTCTGTGGCCTTCGCTACCCCTGACCCCAAAAAGACAACTGGTCCTCTCTCCTTTGGCACCAAGCCCACCCTTGGGGGTCCTGCTCCAGACCCTACCACAGCAGCTTTTGACTGTTTCCCGGACACGACCGCTGCCAGCTCAGCGGACAGTGCCAACCCCTTTGCCTGGCCAGAGGAAAACCTGGGGGATGCTTGTCCCAGGTGGGGATTGCACCCTGGTGAGCTCACCAAGGGCCTGGAGCAAGGTGGGAAGGCCTCAGATGGCGTCAGCAAAGGGGAGACCCACGAGGCTTCGGCCTGCCTAGGCTTCCAGGAGGAGGACCCCCCTGGGGAGAAGGTAGCCTCGTTGCCCGGGGACTTCAAGCAGGAGGAGGCGGGTGGGGTGAAGGAGGAGGCAGGTGGGCTGCTGCAGTGCCCCGAGGTGGCCAAGGCTGACCGGTGGCTGGAGGACAGCCGGCACTGCTGTTCCACCGCCGACTTCGGGGACCTCCCGCTGCTGCCGCCCACCAGCAGGAAGGAGGACCTGGAAGCTGAGGAGGAGTACTCCTCCCTGTGTGAGCTCCTGGGCAGCCCCGAGCAGAGGCCCGGCATGCAGGACCCGCTGTCACCCAAGGCCCCACTCATCTGCACCAAGGAGGAGGTGGAGGAGGTGCTGGACTCCAAGGCCGGCTGGGGCTCTCCGTGCCATCTCTCAGGGGAGTCCGTCATCCTGCTGGGCCCCACCGTGGGCACCGAGTCAAAGGTCCAGAGCTGGTTTGAGTCCTCTCTGTCGCACATGAAGCCAGGTGAAGAGGGGCCTGACGGGGAGCGAGCTCCAGGGGATTCCACCAACTCGGACGCCTCTCTGGTCCAGAAGCCCAACAAGCCTGCTGTGCCCGAGGCACCCATTGCGAAGAAAGAGCCTGTGCCACGGGGCAAAAGCTTACGGAGCCGTCGGGTGCACCGGGGGCTCCCCGAGGCCGAGGACTCCCCATGCAGGGCACCAGCGCTGCCCAAAGACCTCTTGCTCCCTGAATCCTGCACAGGGCCCCCACAGGGACAGATGGAAGGGGCCGGAGCCCCAGGCCGGGGGGCCTCGGAAGGGCTCCCCAGGATGTGTACCCGTTCTCTCACGGCCCTGAGTGAGCCCCGCACACCCGGGCCTCCAGGCCTGACCACCACCCCTGCACCCCCAGACAAACTGGGGGGCAAGCAGCGAGCCGCCTTTAAGTCGGGCAAGCGGGTGGGGAAGCCCTCACCCAAGGCCGCCTCCAGTCCCAGCAACCCGGCCGCCCTGCCTGTGGCCTCCGACAGCAGCCCAATGGGTTCCAAGACCAAGGAGACGGACTCGCCCAGCACGCCTGGCAAGGACCAGCGCTCCATGATCCTTCGGTCGCGCACCAAAACCCAGGAGATCTTCCACTCCAAGCGGCGGAGGCCCTCTGAGGGCCGGCTCCCCAACTGCCGTGCCACCAAGAAGCTCCTTGATAACAGCCACTTGCCCACCACATTCAAGGTCTCCGGCAGCCCCCAGAAGGAGGGCAGGGTGAGCCAGCGGGCAAGGGTCCCCAAACCTGGTGCAGGCAGCAAGCTCCCTGACCGGCCCCTCCATGCGCTCAAAAGGAAGTCAGCCTTCATGGCGCCGGTCCCCACCAAGAAGCGGAACCTGGTCTTGCGGAGCCGCAGCAGCAGCAGCAGCAATGCCAGTGGCAATGGGGGAGATGGGAAGGAGGAGAGGCCTGAGGGTTCCCCCACCCTCTTCAAGAGGATGTCTTCTCCCAAGAAAGCCAAGCCCACCAAGGGCAATGGTGAGCCCGCCACAAAGCCCCCACCCCCGGAGACCCCTGACGCCTGCCTCAAGCTCGCCTCTCGGGCGGCCTTCCAGGGGGCCATGAAGACCAAGGTGCTGCCGCCCCGGAAGGGCCGGGGCCTGAAGCTGGAAGCCATTGTGCAGAAGATCACCTCGCCCAGCCTCAAGAAGTTCGTATGTAAAGCGCCAGGGGCCTCTCCTGGTAATCCTCTGAGCCCATCCCTTCCCGAGAAAGACCGTGGGCTCAAGGGTGCTGGGGGCAGCCCAGTGGGGGTGGAAGAAGGCCTGGTAAATGTGGGCACCGGGCAGAAGCTCCCAGCTTCTTCTGGGGCCGATCTGTTATGCAGAAATCCAACCAACAGATCCTTAAAAGGCAAACTCATGAACAGTAAGAAACTGTCTTCGACTGACTGTTTCAAAACTGAGGCCTTCACATCCCCAGAGGCCCTGCAGCCCGGGGGGACTGCCCTGGCGCCTAAGAAGAGGAGCCGAAAAGGCCGGGCAGGGGCCCTTGGACTCTCCAAAGGCCCACTGGAGAAGCGGCCCTATCTTGGCCCGACTCTGCTCCTGACTCCCCGAGACAGGGCCAGTGGCACACAAGGGGCCAGCGAGGACAACTCTGGTGGAGGAGGCAAGAAGCCAAAGATGGAGGAGCTGGGCCTGGCCTCCCAGCCCCCTGAGGGCCGGCCCTGCCAGCCCCAGACAAGGGCACAGAAACAGCCAGGCCACACCAACTACAGCAGCTATTCCAAGCGGAAGCGCCTCACTCGGGGCCGGGCCAAGAACACCACCTCTTCACCCTGTAAGGGGCGTGCCAAGCGACGACGGCAGCAGCAGGTGCTGCCCCTGGATCCCGCAGAGCCTGAAATCCGCCTCAAGTACATTTCCTCTTGCAAGCGGCTGAGGTCAGACAGCCGGACCCCTGCCTTCTCACCCTTCGTGCGGGTGGAGAAGCGAGACGCCTTCACCACCATATGCACTGTTGTCAACTCCCCTGGAGATGCGCCCAAGCCCCACAGGAAGCCTTCCTCTTCTGCCTCCTCTTCCTCATCCTCATCCTCCTTCTCCTTGGATGCAGCCGGGGCCTCCCTGGCCACGCTCCCTGGAGGCTCCATCCTGCAGCCACGGCCCTCCCTGCCCCTCTCCTCCACGATGCACTTGGGGCCTGTGGTTTCCAAGGCCCTGAGTACCTCTTGCCTTGTTTGCTGCCTCTGCCAAAACCCGGCCAATTTCAAGGACCTTGGGGACCTCTGTGGGCCCTACTACCCTGAACACTGCCTCCCCAAAAAGAAGCCAAAACTCAAGGAGAAGGTGCGGCCAGAAGGCACCTGTGAGGAGGCCTCGCTGCCACTTGAGAGAACACTCAAAGGTCCCGAGTGCGCAGCTACCACCGCTGCCGGGAAGCCCCCCAGGCCTGACGGCCCAGCCGACCCGGCCAAGCAGGGCCCACTGCGCACCAGTGCCCGGGGCCTGTCCCGGAGGCTGCAGAGCTGCTACTGCTGTGATGGCCGGGAGGATGGGGGCGAGGAGGCAGCCCCAGCCGACAAGGGCCGCAAACACGAGTGCAGCAAGGAGGCCCCGGCAGAGCCCGGCGGGGAGGCGCAGGAGCACTGGGTGCACGAGGCCTGTGCCGTGTGGACCGGCGGCGTCTACCTGGTGGCTGGGAAGCTCTTTGGGCTGCAGGAGGCCATGAAGGTGGCCGTGGACATGGTAAGAGGCCAGCCCAGCCAGGGTGGGGAGTGTGGGGTTCCAAAGGACAGGCAGGCAGGCAGTGGGGGGAGCTCCTTTTCTCTCTAGTGCTACAGTGTGAACCAAATGCGTCTGCAGTCTTGGGATGATCTGCAGAGTCCTGAGCCTCTCCGGGGTGTGTGGGGGACGTGGAGGCACCCGTCTGGCTAAGGCAGGTCACACTCGCCTACCCTGTCCCCCTGTGGCCCCTATGCCCAGCCACCGCCACTCTCCCACTCACCTGGCATCTTCAGGCTCCAGCCCCACCCAGAGTCCACTGGGCCCCTCCCCATGCTGTCACTGGAGATGCCGAGGCCCAGAGAACAGGAGGCCTCCCAAGACTGAACGTCAGGACAGCCCTGGGCGGTGCAAGAGCACGTTGCCCACCCTCTGTTCCTGTCTCCGTTGCCTCTGGGATGGAGCTAGGGGCTCAGGGGAAGACCCTCCCCGGCGACACAGGCTTGGTGCATGGACCCAGTCACAGGGCTCCTCCCTCTGCAGGACAGTCCACGGGGTCACACAGTCACAACAGGCAGGGCGGGGCAGACCCGGACCCTCCTGCCACTGGCTCTGAGACCAGCTTTGGAAGCCATAGTCACTGGGCGCCAACGTGAGAGAGGGAACTCTGGGGCCGCGCCGCCATGCACCTTTGGGGCTGTGACGTGCCCTCTCTGTGCCTCCATCCCCCTTGCCCCTAACGTGGGTGTGAGGGTGCCCATGGAGGAGGGTCGGGAGGGTTAAAGGAGGGCACCTCCGAGCCCACCGAGCGCAGCAGCCCTGTGACAGTAGGTGCAGAGGGGCCTGGTGGCTCTGGTGACAGCGGGCTGACGTTCTTAGTGGTGTCTCCACTTCCCCAGCACCATACGGTACCTCTGTGCCCTTCTGAGGGAGGGGCCAGTGGGGGCGGTGGGATCCACCTCTTCCCCAGAGCCACGATCCTGCCCCACATTCAGCCCCTACTCTACTGCCTCATCCAGACTTCCATGGAGTGGCGCTCCCGGATCCCGGCGCTGTGTGGTGGCTCTCAGTGGGGACGCCTGCAGCCTTCTCTGAGTGGCCCTTGCCCTGAGTCCCGCCCCCTCCACTCCTTCCTTCAGCCCACTATGTGCAGCTGAGGTCACAGGAGAGCCAGAGGCTCGGGACAAACACTGCCTGCATCTGAGTGATTCAGTGACCTGGCAGAGTGGCCCCAGCAGGTGGCTTCACCCCTCCCCTGCCCAGCCTCCTCCCCCATCGCTGTGCTGCCCAGCTGCTCCTCGCAGTACACCCCTGCAGCCCCTCTGAGCAAACCCTGCTCCTAACGGTTGCCGTAACGTTGCCTGGCCAAACCAAGGTCCCGGTGGGGGCCCACTGTGTTAGCCGCCCACGCCTCCTAGTGTGTCTTGAGCACCTGCTTCCCACGGCCCATGGGGATGGCTAGAGACCTTCTCCACACCCAGACGCCCTGCCCACCTCACTCCACCCTCCACCTCAGAGGAAGGTTCGCCCCGACAGGACACCTGCAGCTTCCTGGTGCCACGGGCCTTGCTTGCCCAGCAGATGGTGGCCTTGGGCCTCTTCCCTCTCCCCTTCCCAGTTACAGTGATGTTTTGCCTCTCTCTGTCTCTCTCTGTCTCTCTCTGTCTCTCTCTGTCTCTCTCTCTCTCTCTCTCTCTCTCTCTCTCTCTCTCTCTCTCATATATTACTGGCTCCTTCCCAGCGCCTTGAAATAGGTTCAAGTCTCTTCCCATCATCAAAAAATGACCCTCAGATCACCAGCCCCTGCCTCCATGCCCCCTGACACTCACGTCCCACCAGGCTGGGATCGGGTTGTCTTCACGTTCCCTGCAGCCAGCACTGGCCGGCCGAAGGGAGGAGGGGTCAGCCCTGAGCACCGACCACCCCATCCTGTCCCCGGCCCGGGTGTCTTACCACCCATGCCCACACAAGGTCCTGCTGGACTGAGGAGACAGCGTGTGTTGGAGAGGCGCTAGCTTCCCTATGCCACACGGGGGCTGGAACTCGCCAGCCCAGCCCGTGCCTGTCCATTGCGCCATGCTCCAGAAACAGCCTGACAGCCTGCATGACGGGGGCTGCCCCGGGAAGGTCGGAACCAGGAACACCCTGCCAGAGAGATGGGACATCCTGGAAGAATGGGCAGGGTCGGGGGCCTCCCAGGGTCACTTTTGGCTCACCACCCCTTCCTGCCTCAGTGGCTTGGGGGCACCACGCTCCTTGGACCCCGATTCAAATCTCAGCTCTGCTGAGGGCTGGTTCCATAGCTCCAGGCGAGTCACACATCCTCTGAGAACCTCACAATGTCAAACCCTGTTAGCAGGATTGTGGGGTTCTGTGGATCACGTGGGACCTGTCTGGCATGTGGAAGGGGTTTGGGGTGCAGCTGTGTCCCCGGCCCCAGCACTGCCACACCCTTTGGTCCCTTGACCTCCCTTTTGTGCCCTGGAGGGCAGAATCCCTGAGCCAGCCCTCATCGAGGGCTCCGTAGCCTTTTCCCTCGATGGCCCTTTCTGGGAGCTGCCCCCGCCTGCTGTCTCTGAGGCCTGCCTGCCCCTCCCCCCCAAAACCATCGTAGACCCCTACCTCCTATCCAGATGGGGCCTGGCCATGGAATGCTTGGGGTGAAAGGAACCCATAGCAGGCTCCGGGCATCATTCGGGGGCTGGGCGGTGTCTGAGAGGCCCCACCTGTGGCAGGGTTTACATGCTGCAGGCCCTGCCCTCCTCTTGGGTAGCTGGGGTCAGAAGCGCCTGAGGCCTCACTTTCTCTGCATCTCAGTTTCTTCACATCTAAAATGCCATTCAAATGCCTGCCTGAAGGTGGTTGGGGCCTCCATGCAGTAAGTGGAGAGAAGCCTTCAGCCAGAGGACCCCCATAAACCTTAAACATCCAGACACTGAGGGCCACTCACGGACAGTGGCCGGCTTGTGTGTCATCATCCCTTTCGGGTTAGCAATTGGGGACGCTGGACTCCAGATCCCCAGGAGGCCATCCCAGACCAGGCAGGAAGAAGGCCTCAACCCTGAACTGAAAACCTGAAATTCTAGAACAAACCCCAGAGCCCACTCCCAGTGTGGGCAGCGGGGAGGGGAGCGTTCTGACATTTCTCAGCTGCTGTGGGTGGGATGGAGCGCCCACCCTGAGCATGTGGGGTCCTGTGGGCCCCTGCTCCAGCCTGGAGCCAGCTGTGGGGGTCAGAGACCAGCTTGGAGCCCTCCGGCAGGTTACTCAGCCTCTGCTGTCGTTGGTAACCTGGGTAAAATAACAGTAATCCCATCATAAGGTTGCTGTGGGCGTGAGACTTCCAGCCATGCCTGGCACATAGGAAACTATCGTCATTTGTTTCACTGGCTTTGCACCTGGGCACAGGCCGCCGCCCTTCTGCTGCCTTCGCTGCCTCACCCCCTGCCCCCAGCACGGTGGCGCTGTGCCTCTGGCACCTAGTGACTTCTCCCTCCCCGGCCTCAGGTTTGCTTCACTCTTCCAAGGGCCTTTTTGGTGTGACTGTCCTGTCCCGGCCACGTCCACTCCAAGCAGCTGGTCCAGGTGTGGGGCAGGCCCCAAGCTCAGCAGAGGACAGTTTTGAGACTTAGAGGAGGACGGCATCAGATTTACATGAAGTCAGCATCTCAAGGGATTACCACGTCACCACCTCCTCTCACAGGTCTGAGAGCCGGTCCCCTGGAGGGTGCAGGTCTCATCCTAGGTAAAACAGTCCCAGCCTAGCTTCAGTGCTCCTGCTGCCAGAAGGGGTAGAACACCAAGCTGATGCCTTCACTGTTGCCTGGAATGGGAAGCTTCAGTTTCACCATCACCTGTAAAGTGAGATTAATGAAAGGGGCCCACAGAGGGCCGTTAGAGCCAGTGGGCCGGGCGCGGTGGCCACACCTGTAATCCCAGCACTTTGGGAGGCCTAGGCAGGCAGATCACCTGAGGTCGGGAGTTTGAGACCAGCCTGGCCACCACAGTAAAACCCCGTCTCTACTAAAAATACAAAAATTAGCTGGGTGTGGTGGCACATGCCTGTAATCCTAGTTACTCGGGAGGCTGAGGCAGGAGAATCACTTAAACACAGGAGGCGGAGGTTGCAGTGAGCCGAGACCATGCTCTTGCACTCCAGCCTGGGCGACAGAGCAAAACTGTCTCAAAAAAAAAAAAAAAAGAGTGAGCCAGCGGACAAGGACACACACCACACCCAGCACGCAGAAAGCATGCAGCAGGTACTGACTGGTAGCCACAGCCATGGTGGTAACTGGCATCACTGGCCCAAGGGGGTCTCACTACCCAATGTACCAGTCCAGGTGGTGCTAAATGACCCATGCTTATGGGCATGTGCACCCCAGTGCTGAACCTCCTTCTGGGAGATTTTCAGGCACCATTTTGGAGAAGGGAGGCGGGGACCACAGCTGGCTGGCCAGTGTGTAAGGGGCTTTTTTTTTTTTTTTTTTTTTGAGACAGGGTCTCACTCTCGTGCCCAGGCTGGAGTACAGGCAGTGGTGTAATCTCAGCTCACGGCAGCCTCGACCTCCCAGGCTCCAGCAATCCTCCCACCTAATCCTCCTGAGTAGCTGGGACTACAGGCGCACACCACCACCCCTCACTATTTTTTGCAGAGACAGAGTTTCACCATGTTGCCCAGGCTGGTCTCAAACTCCTAGACTCAGGCGATCCTCCCACCTTGGCCTCCCAGAGTGCTGAGATTACAGGCATGAGCCACTGCACTCCGCCTACCAGCCTGTAAAGCTTGAGGGCTGGGCTCCAGCTGGAGACTCACCTGCCTTTCCTTTCTCTTCATCAGACGTGTTCCAGCTGCCAAGAAGCCGGGGCCACCATTGGGTGCTGCCACAAAGGATGCATCCACACCTACCACTACCCGTGTGCCAGCGATGCAGGTACGAGCCCGCCTGGGAACAGGTGGGCATTGGAGCCCATCCAAACAGTCCAGGGGGACCCTGGGCACAGCTCCCCAAACCCAGGCCCCATCTCACTCTTCAGTTTCCCTCCTCTCTTGCCCCAGCAATTCTTTATCTTTCTGTCCGCATAGACCGCTGCTGGGCAATGCCAGGGACATGGAAATGAGGCATTCCCCAGTCACCTGCTTGAGGAGTGCCCAGAGCAGTGAGCGAAGATAGAGGCGTAAATTACAATGTGGAATGCTGTCTGTGGAGCCGTCATTGCCAAGGGGCGGGGAGGATCTCAGGCCTCAGAGAGAAAGGGGCATTGGGGGTTGGGCCTTTGAAGGATGAGTAGGAGTTCACTGAGCAGAGACAAGGGGAAAGGCACTACTATGACAGCGAAAACCAAATGAGTTGGGGGTGATGAGATTCAAAACAGAGACTGAGACCCATGATCTCCTGTTGGCCACAAGGAGCAATTGTGGAAGCTCTGAAGCAGGGTAGCGGGGTCTGGAGGTAGGCCCAGGCTCCCCTCATCCTCCCCCCAAGTCCCTCCTCTCCCTCATGCATTCATTTGTTCCACAAGCATTTATTAAGCCCCTACTATCACTGGGCACACAGAGTGACACTGCATGGACTGGAGCTCCCCAAGAGCCCTGACCTTTATTGACCAGGTGGGGAAACTGAGGCTCAGAGACATTCCTTATTTCATCCAAAGAAAGCAGTTGCTTATGGTACAATATTCGTCATTGGTGACAACAATGTTTTGGGAGATTTGGGGCCAACTTTGGCCTGGATTCAAACCCTAGTGGTAGTGGGGGTTTTCGTTTTTGTTTGAGACAGGGTCTTGCTCTGTCACCCAAGCTAGAGTGCAGGGGTGCAATCATGGCTCACTGCAGCCTTAACCCCCTGGGCTCAATCATCCTCCCACCTCAGCCTCCCGAGCAGCTGAGACCACAGATGTGCGCAGCCATGCTGGCTCCTAGTAGTGTGTGTATTTTTATTTATTTATTTATTTTTGAGACGGAGTCTCACTCTGTCTCCAGGCTGGAGTGCAGTGGTGCGATCTTGGCTCACTGCAACCTCTGTCTCCTGGGTTCAAGCAATTCTCCTGGCTCAGCCTCCCAAGTAGCTGGGAGTACAGGCGTGCGCCACCACGCTCAGCTAATTTTTGTATTTTTAGTAGAGACGGGGTTTCACCATGTTGGACAGGATGGTCTCGATCTCTTGACCTCATGATCTGCCTGCCTTATCCTCCGAAAGTGCTGGGATTACAGGCGTGAGCCACTGCGCCTGGCCCCTAGCAGTGTTTTTAATGTGTGGTCTTGAGCAAGTTGGTCAATATCTCTGCACGCAGTTTCTCCACCTGTATGATGGAGATGATAATAGCCTCTTCTCTGCAGAGCTGCTGGGAGGAGAGTGAAATAATGAACACTACCCACACAGTGCTGCCTCAGTCCTATCTTGGGTCCAACCTCTGTGACCTCTCCCCTGTACCCTCAATCCCTCCCAACTCTGGCCTGGAAAGAGGTGAAGTCATAACCCACCTCCCAGCAGACAGAGCCCAGGTCCCCCAGACTCCCATCACTCTCCCAGCAGCCCCACCTACTGCCTCCCCTCCTCACCTGATGCCCTGCTGGCTTTGCCTGGACAGAGGGGACCACAGCCTGTACCCCGCCTGCCAGCTGGGTCCCCGGCCAGTGTCAGCCCAGTGGAGCTGCCCCAGGGAGGACACAGAGGACTTCCGAGTGCTGACAGTTCCTTGGCGGGGGCTGAGCCGCCCACACCCAGTGGGGAGGGGGCTTGCTGGAGCGGGGTCGGGGAGGAATCTCACTGGCTCCACCCTCCCACTCTGAGCAGTGTGAGCCAGAGTTTAACATGGACCCTGCCACTTGCCCAGGCATGTGGCCGCACTCCTCTTAATAGCTGCCACAAGTCGCATTCCTCCTTCCACAGTGATTAACTTAGCGCCAGCTCCACTCCCAGCCCTGCGACAGGCCCATGTTGTTTCTAGCCATCTTCACAGATTGGCTGCCTCACCCACAGCACACAGCATGGCGTGGACAGTCCCAGGACTTAATGCCCTGGCTTTCTTGTTCCATGTCTATGTACTTTCCCCTACCCCAGCGCTGCCCAGTCCCCCAAGGGGCTTACCCTTGAGTGGGACAGACAGCAAAACTGTGGTTCTTGGCCACAGTTAGGGAGACCAGACAGGAAGTAGAGTATGCACTGTGGGAGAGGTTCATCCTGTCTGAACCAGGAAGAAATCTAGGAAGACTTCCAGGAGGAGGTGACATTTAAGCCAGGCCTCAAAAAATCGGGGGAGCTGGGCAGAAACTATTTAGTGGTAGGACTTGTATGCTAGGCTTTGAGCAAGAGAACTTTTGTTTCAGGCAAAATCCTAGAAGGATTCCTCATATAACAGGGATCCCTGTAGCGCCATGAAGATTGAGGCAGGAAAGGGACTGGGAATGCTGTAAATGGAGACATACACCTCAGAGACTGCGTTGGCACAGAATCCACGGGACTTGATGATGAGGGAGAGGGAGGTGGCAAGCCTGATGCCCAGCTTCCCCATGAAGGGGAGAAGTAGGGTACGGACGTGCAAATGGAGTTATTAGCTGCAGAGCTACTGGCCCTTCCAGGCCCAGCTTCATTTCTCCAGCGCCAGCCCTTCATTATTCCTCAAAAGGGCATGAGTTGGCTGCAGACTCTGCTGGGAGCAGGATGATCTAGGGTGGCCCCAGCTGGACCAGCTTGCCTTTGCTCCATGCGGTCTCCTCCTCCAGCAGGCTGGCCTGGGTGCGTCCTCATGGCGGCAGCAGGGCTCTGAGAGAGTGGAGGTCGCAGGGCCTCTCCCAGCCTAGGTCCTGGACTTCACCACGTTCTGTTAGCCAAAGCAGATCCCAAGTCCAGCACAGAGAAGTGCAGGCCACCTCTCCGTGGGGTGAGCTGCAGAGCCACACCACAAAGGACCCGGATGCAAGGAGGGGACGGGGCTGCTCTGCCAGGCCATCTACACACACGGCAGTTCCCTTTGGCCACACTGCAGGAGAGGCTGCTGTGGACATACAAAGTGTGGGCATCTGGGCTCAGGACCGAGTGTCACCCATCATCAGCAGGCGGGGGCTCATCAGAGCTCTGGAAGGGACAAGATAGCAGGGTTGTGTTCACCATGAAACAGCTGGCTGAGGAGGAGGGTGGACCCCTGGGAAACTGAGGAACAGCTGCCAGAGAAGGCGAGGGGGAACAAGTAAGCTCGAGAGTGAAGCTGGGGAGGACAGGCGCTTGGGGTACAGGGAGGGCCCCCAGGGCGACTCTCTCTGCCAGCCAGGCGGTGGGGTGTGGGGTGGGAGTGAGAGGGCACTGCGGGAGCGGGCTGGTCAGGCTGATCCGATGTCTGGCCAGGGAGGAGCCCCAGGCCTCTGCATCAGGCACTGGGACTGCAGGGCACCAGGGCTGCCCACTGGCTGCCATCCTCTGCCCTGCACCGCGCTGTCCTGGCCTACTCATCTTGCCACTTTCCAATCCTTGTTAAGGAACCCACTTTGGAGACAAGCAGTGACTCTGAAGAGCAGGCAGAGACTGCTACACCCCAGTGTCCTGTCTGAACCTTTCCCCACTCAGGCCCTGGGGCCAACCTGTCAGTGAGCACCCAGGTTCCCCAGGTGCACGCACCAGGTCAGGAGCCAGATTATTGAGGATTGGCCTTGCCCAGTCACTCCCGCTCCATGCCCCATGTGGGGTGGTGCTGGGGCAGTGCTGAGGGAGCCAGTTTGGAAGTGGCAAGCTCCTACCCTCAACTTCCCTTGGTGGGAGCGCCTGCAGTACCCAGGCGTGCGGGGGCAGGCCTGGGGTTTTAGCCCAGTGTCTTTGGAAAATCTGGTCCAGCCCCAGAACCGCATCTGGCTTGCCTGAGCCAAGGGAAGGGGAACAGCCGTGGCACATCTGCAGCTGCTGGCCCTGAATGGCAGTTTCCAGGTCCAAGGCACTCCCAGCTTCTGGAGACAAGGGGAGACCGCCTAAGAGAGGCCTGCTACCGCCCAGCCCTGCCCTTAGGGCTGCAGAGCTGTCCCCGCCCTGCCTTCTGGCCACCACCCTGTCACGATGCCATTGCACAGAGCCAGCTCCAGTGTGAACAGGAAGATTGTGTTGAAGACAGCACCAGCCTCCAGCTACTTTTGGGTCTGGGGTTCAGAACAGTGGCTGGTGAGGCTTGGGGGGAGGGGAGCCCAGAAGGGGACTAGGGACTGGGGGGTCCCTGGGGGAAAAGCCAGCTTCTCCCTAGGTGGCAGCAGGCAGGGGAGTGGGGACTCGCTGAGATAGCAACACATCCCGGGCCTAGGTGGGCATAAACACTGGCCGTGCTCGGTTGTCTTCTCTGCCCCACCTCCTGCACCCACTGCATGCCACACATGTGCAGGGTGGTTTATTTTAAAATTTTATTTGTTTTATTTTATTTCATCGGAGACAGGGTCTCTCTGTGTTGCCCAGGCTGGAGTGCAATGGTATAATCATAGCTCACTGCAACCTCCGCCTCCCAGGCTCAAGTGATCCTCCCGCCCCAGCCTCTCCAGTAGCTGGGACTACAGGCATGCACCACCATGCTGGCTAATTTTTATATTTTTGATAGAGATGAGGTTTTGCCATGTTGCCCAGGCTAGTCTTGAACTCCTGGGCTCAAGCGATTCACTCACCTCATCCTCCCAAAGTGCTGAGATTACAGGTATGAGCCACTGCTCCCGCCAGAGTGGTTTCTGTACACTCCCATCCTTCCATCTCCATGAAAGGCATACAGTAGGTGGCACAATGCCCATTTTACAGATGTGGAGACAGGCTCAGATAAGTAGCAGATGCTCAAATCCAGGCTTGCAACACCATGACCAGTCCGTCCACAGGGGTTCATGACGTGCTCACTGGAAGTCAGTGAGCTCTTCCAGGGGCTGGGCATACATCCAGGGAAGAAGACAGAGCTGGTGCCCTCTGGAAGCTTGCCTGAGAGTGGGGAAGAAACAAGGAGCAAGGCCGGGCGCGGTGGCTCACGCCTGTAATCCCAGCACTCTGGGAGGCCAAGCCGGGTGGATCACCTGAGGTCGGGAGTTTGAGACCAGCCTGGCCAACATGGTGAAACTCCGTCTGTACTGAAAAAACAAAAATCAGCCGGGTGTGGTGGCACATGCCTGTAATCCCAGCTACTCAGGAGGCTGAGGCAGGAGAATCACTTGAACCCGGGAAGCGGAGGTTGCAGTGAGCCGAGATCGTGCTATTGCACTCCAGCCTGGGTGAAAGAGTGAAACTCCATCTCAAAAAGAAACAAGGAGCAAGACAAGATCACACAAGTCAGCCTCTTAGGAGGCAGTGACAAGTGCGGCTGGCAGAGTAAGGCGGGAGGGAGGGAGGGAGGGACTGCCTCAAGTGAGGAGGGGCGGCCCGTGGAACTCAGCGGGAAAAGCTCTCGGTGGAGGAGGTGAGGTGAGTCAAGACCGCCAGACCGGGAGCCTCACCCGCGCCGTGGAGTGGAGTGTGGAGGGTTTTGTGCAGGATCTGATTAACTCTTTGAAAAGAGGGCCTGCAGTGTAGAGCCTAGCGGGCAGTGCGGCTCCCCTCCTGGCTGCCGACAAAACCCCACAGCTGTGAGCCTCCACCCTGTCCTAACCACCGAAACTTCTCTTTGGTCACAGGTTGCATATTCATCGAAGAGAACTTTTCTTTGAAATGTCCCAAACATAAGGTAGGGGACCACAGTGTTTTGTAGGGGGAGGGGTGTCAAGCGGGAGACGAGCCCCACCTCGCACCTCCTTCACAGTCCGCCGCCCCTTGGCTGCGCAGCCCCGCAGGGCCCAGCCCGAGAGGGAGGGAGCTCTCCCCGCCCACCCCCAGGAGCCCCCGCTGCCTCCAGCTCAGGTCCCCGTCCACTTGCGCGCTGCCGCCGCCGCCGCCGAAAACCCGCCGGCTTCGGGGCATGGGCAGCCAGGGGCTGAAGGGCCTCCCCGTAGCTCCCCAAGATAGGTGACAGAGTGGGGCAGGCGGGGGCGCGGGACGGTGGCACGGAGGTAAAGGTGAAGGTGGACGGGGTGGGGCCAGAAGGGGTGGGGCCGACGGCCTCGGGCGGAGACCCCAGCCGCGCTCTAGCGTCGCCTGGGTCGGGGGCCTGGGGGGCGGGCCCACACCGGGGGCGGGGCCTGTGGCCTTTGAGGTCCGCGGTCGTCGGTAACGGGCGGGCGGGCGTCTTTTGCAGAGGCTGCCGTTGTAATCCACCCCAACGGCCGGAGGAGCCGCCGGAGCCCGCCTGCCCGCCCGCCGCCGAAGGAGAGGAGCCGCCTGCGCAGCCCCCGGGCCTTTGAGCTGCTCCCAGTGCGGGTCCAGAGCCGATCCTTGATCTGGGTCCCGGATCGTGGATCCGGCCGCCTAGGGCTCAGACTTGCGGCCCCGGGTTGGGAGGAAAACCCGTTCCGGAGCCGCCTGCTCCCGGAACCGGACGGCACAGGGCGTTCTTGCCCACCCCAGGGGCCAGGCTTGCGGAGGGGGAGCCCGCGGAGCGGCCAGACTCCCCGGGGCGCTCAGCCTCCGGCGAGGGTGCGAGACGGCTTTGGCCTGGGGACGCTTTTCCCCTCTGGAATCTCAAGACGACGTGGCACACATTCCACGTGGGTGCTGTCGCCACCCCAGTCGGTCGTGGCGTGCAGCTGGGAGCCCTGGGCTTGGGGGTGGGGGTCGAAACAGTCCTGGAAGAGGCGGAGGGCGGCTCCTGGCTCCGTGGACTAGGTGGGGGAGCCCTTTCTAAGAGCGGGCTAGGCAGACGCTGGAGGGACCTCAGCCTTTGGAACAAACCGTGCGGAACGCTTCCAGGGGCCTTCCCGCCCAGCCTTTGCCAGAGCGATTCGGGCAAAGCCGGGATAGACCTGGGCTGTGCTCGGTTAGGGGTTGCAGGCTCCCCGAGTGTGGGCGGGACTGGGACACCCTTTGGCCTCTGTTCGTCCCCTTTCCAGTCCACCCCACCCCTGGAGCCCAGCCTGGGAGCGCAAAACCCAAGAAGCGGCCAGAACGCACCTCCGGCGGACGCGCGACCGTTGTGCACCACCAGGGACTGCCGCGCCCACTCTGCACGGGAGCAGGGACAGCGCTAGATTCGTGTACAAAACCTGTGTACCCCTCTATATATATGTTACATAGAATGTATATATGTTGGGAACATGCTCGCTTCTCCCGTGTGTCCCCGCCGTGCGTCGTGCGCCCGCAACAGAGCCCCAACCGGGCCTTTGCCGGGTAGGGGGCTACCGCGACGCCCCTTGCCCACGCAGCCACCACCGGCCCGGGCCAGTCCCTGCGAGTCCGTCCGCCTGTCCGTCCGTGTCCTCAGCTCTGTCCACGCTTCGATAGGCCTGATGCAGCCCCCAGCCCAGGGCCGCCCTAGCAACTTCCTGTACATATGACTGTAAAATGGTAAACGTGTGTATTATATCTGGCCTCGTTATATAGTGTATATATATGTATACATATACATATATATAATATATATGAAGACTGTAAATGTTAAGACGACTAGTGTTCTTATTAGTATATTGCTTCACACTGAAGATTGTGTGTATCGAGCTGTTTCTAAAAGATGTTTATTTTCCTTAAGAGTAAAAAACAGTCATTGCATTCAGAAAAAAAAAAAAAAAAGTCAATAAAGATACAACGATTGTTTTGGAAAATCTGCAGCCCGTGGATTCCGACCAGATTCAGCTGGGAGCCGGGCCAGTCTTTAGGCTGGGTAATGGGAATGAAGGGAGGGGCTCAGGGGGGCATGAATGGAGTCAGGGAGCCTGCCCTTCACAGAACAGGAAAACTCTCCGCGCCTGTGCCGCTCTCCAGTGTGGCGGCGGGTCGGGAGGGAGGAGGCTGCTTTGCTGTGAGAGGACCAGGGGCCAGGATGGGGGCAGGTGAGACAGGCCAGACTTGCAGGGAGACCCAAGCTGTAGCTCCTGTCATACAACAGGTCCTGGAGGACAGTCCATCCTCCCATGCCACCCAGGGACCTGATGGGGACACAGCTGGGAGGTGAGAAGGGACAACTGACCCTATCGAGGCCCTAAGGGTTGACAGCCCAAACGTGCCCTGGGAACAGGGAGACAGGTCAGCTGGAGGCCATACAGCCAGCCCTCCCCACTCCCCCTAACATCGGAAAGAGCTAAGTTGTGTCCCTCGTGGTCGGAGAGGGGAGGGAAGCCTTTTCCAAGGTGCTGGGGGAGGGCCCAAGCACGCTCACTGGTCAGCACATCAATCAGCTGAAGACACAAAACCCAGATTATAAATAATTTCATTTTTAATTCTCTGTACAAAACTTCTCAATCTATGAAAATAAAGTTTGCAAAAGGCAAAGTAGCACAGGAGCCTCAGGTCAGGAGGCTGAGCACGCTGACCTACACTATGTACACGTCTTCCCACGAGGGATAGAGAGGCCTCTGGGGCTAGAGCCCCGCTTGCAGTCCGGGAAAGCCAAGTTGGCTTCCGTCAGCGCAGGGAAATGTACCCATCTCTTCCCTCTAAACAGGAGGAAAAAAGCCACTAAGGTGCCTGCAGAGCAAGGAGGGGCCCCTCCGCCCCGAACAGCTCGGCTCCTGCAGTGCCCCGATCGGCCACCAGAGGTCAGCACCATCATGGCCGCCGGTCTTAGGGTCGGGTTTGCGCCCCTCTGGCCTTCCACCCCGAAGGGACAGCGCAGTCGCGGGTGAACCGTGGAGGCCAGGGTCTCTCGCACTGCCTTCGGCCTTCAGGGCTTCGACACAGGACAGAAGCTGCACGGGACAGAAGTGGCTAAAGACAGGGGTGCTGACGCCGGGGATACGGGTTCTAGCTGGAAGTGACAGTGGTCCCACCGCCCAGGCGCATGAGCATCTGCTGACAGTCGTGCAGCAGCCGGCGATCGCCAAGCTTCTCGAGCGTGCGCGCTGCCTCAGCCAGCATGCCCACGCGCTGCCCGGGCGCCGACAGGAAGCCAGGGGGCAGGTAGCAGGAGGCTAGCAGCAAGGCCTCCGCGTGCTCCCGCCTCGTGGGCCGCGGCTCCAGCTCCGCCACCGCGCCTGCGCATACAAGGATGTGTTAGGGATGGGGCTCAGGCTGGCCACGCCCCCGCGGGAGCCCCGCCCACACACAAGCAAAGGCACCAGCCGCCCATACCTAGTATATACGTCTCCCTCTCCCCACCCTAGTCTCAGCCCACACATAAAGTCCACAGACTGAGTCACGCACGTGTAGTCATATATCCCACAAATGACAGTTGCCCCACTGATTTCTTGTGAAAGGAATTGTCATCAGGTAACCACCAAGAAGATGCTTGTTTTTTTTTTTTTTCCTTGAGATAGGGACTCTCCCTGTCACCCAGGCTCACTGCGGCCTCCGACTCCTGGGCTCAAGCTGTCCTCCTGACTGGGCCTCCCAAAGTGCTAGGCGTGAGCCACTGTGCCAGGCCTGTCTGTCCCGTGTGACACACACGGAGCCTCCCTTGGTATCACACCCCATGTGCGCCCTTCCCTGCTGAGCAGACAGCACATCCCTGGTCAGCAGCTGCCCCTCACCTCCTTTGCCACTGGGGCCTGCCCGCCGCCTGAGACTGCGGTCGAGGAGTTGGTGTGTCCGTGTGGGGCTGGCCCCCGCCATCAGCCGGGCCGTGGCCTCATGTAGGAACACCTGGGGGCCAGGAGAGTGGAGGCTCAGGGCTGTCCCTCTCCACCACTGCCTGACTCCCCATCTTGAGGACAGGGAGCCATTGGGCACTCACCCTCCGCATGGCAGGCCGGAAGCTCTGTGCCAGCCGCCTCAAGCTGCTCAGGTCCCGCTGGAAGCCACGCAGCTCAAGGGCAGAAGCCTGAGGCCCGCTGCTGGTGCCCTGGGCTGCCGGGGCCGGGGCCGGGGGCTGCTGCTGCCGCCACAGGCTGGTGCGTACTACAAGGAGCAGGTCACACAGGAACAGCTGCACGGCCTGGGGGTGGCAGGCAGGGCAGGGTCACCAGGGCTCTAGCTCTGGGAGGGGCAGGATGGGGGCCCGCGGTGCCAGGGGCCGGCTCCGGGCTGCACTGCCGAGGCACTGCACCCGCCTCACACACGTGCAATGCAACAGCAATGCACCGCGGGGCCGCCCGCCTCTCTCGGCCCCCACGCCCGCCACCGGCCCGGGAGCAGCTGCCCAGCCCTCCTGATGCAGGGCCTCCAAAGGGATCCTACCACACCATCCACCCCCATCCTCCCAGGATGGGGAAACTGAGGCCAGATAAGGGCAACCCCTCTCCTCTGGACACAAGCCTTAGCCAAAAAGCAAGGTCTGCTGGACCTCCTATCTGCTGGACCCCTCATCCTGTGCTGCTTGGGCTAAACCCATGGTCTTCTGCAGTCCCTGGGGCCTGGGGAGAAGGACCAGGGAATGGAAGGCTGAGTCCCCCAGCCCTGCCAGGCCCCTGGTCCCACCCCTCACCTTGTCAATGGAGCTGCTGGCTGGTGTGGTAGTCAGGCTGTCCTGCAGGTACCCACTGGCCTTCTCACAGATGGTCAGGCTGGCTGGACCAGACTCTGCCTTGGCACAGCCCAGCAGGGCCCGGGCAGCCTTGAAGGAGTGCAGAGCCGCCCTGGGCAGGGGTCTCCTGTTGGGACCAGGGCAGAAGAGTGCCAATCAGACCACAAGCCCTGGCTGAGTGCCCCCCACTGCCCTGACTCGAGTTCCCTGGGGATAAAAGGTGGTGACCCCTGCACAAAGGCTGAGTGGAGGCACAGTGCCCAGCGGATGAGGGAGGCTGGGCCCACGGCCAGGCAGGAGGAACTTGCCGTGCACTCACTCAGACTCCTGCAGCACCCGGGGCAGGTGCTCCACCAGTGGGCACAGCCGCTCAGCCGCCTCCTCGTCCCGCCGCAGCCAGTGGATCACCACAGCTGTCAGAGAGGCCCACCACTTGGCCACCGGGTCTACGCCTGCAAAAGAGGGAGGGTCCCCTGAACCCTCAGCCACGCTGCATAGGGACTGAGAAGGGAGCCAGAGAGCAGGGCCGGGGGCTCACCGGTGGTGGTGGCCATGCTGGAACTGATGGAGAAGCTGCAGGCAGGCGCCCCCGCGGCATCAGAACAGCTGTTCAGCAGCTGCAGGTACCCGAGGGCATCCGAGAATTCCCTGTGGCAGGAGAGGGCTGGCTGTCGGGACAGATGGCAGGGGTCCTAGGAGGGTGCTGGCCCTCCCCACCTGCCCACTAGAGTACAGCCTGACCCCTGGCTCTGCAAACTGCCACTGTCTCCTCCCATAGGCTGGTGGGGAGAGGAAACCCAGAGAGGAACAAAGGGCACATGGCACGCATGGTAGCCTAGCTCTGGCCCTCTCCGCAGGGTTGAGGACAGAGCTATTCCCAGAATCCTGCTGGAGGAGCCTTGCCTGGAGAGGGCACGACGACACTTACTTGTCCCCATCAGCTGACCCAGGGCTGGGGTTGGGCTGGGTCACACAGTTCAGTGCTCGCTCCAAGAGATGTTCCCGGAATAACTGAGTCACCTGGGCCAGGGGGTCCACTGTGGAGAAGAGGAGGTGAGTGGGGTGGGGAGCAGGGCCCCACCCTCCTCTCCAAGCTAAGGGCTTTTTCCTGGGTGGGCTGGGGCCACACTCAGGGTCACTGGGAAGTGCCGGCATGCCCCTGGGTGCAGCCCGTGCCAAGGACAGGGGAAAACAGGTGGACATAACTACGCCAGCACCAGCGTTGGCCAGGAAAACACTGAGGCCTGCCCTACGCTGCTCCCAAAGGAAAATAGACTTGAGAAGGCACCACTGTTGGCTTTGCTTCCTTGCTCCACAGTGGTGCTGCCTGGGGTCACTTCTCCAATCAGCCACCTGCCCTTCAATCCCTGCATGTGCTTCTGAAAGTCCCAGTGGAAACCGAGACTCACCCAGGCCTTTCCCTTCCTACAGCCCCCACATCAACAACCCATGGCAGGGAGAAGGACTGGGGTGGCCAGAGACAGCCAGAGATTCAGGCGACAAGGGACAGAACAGGAATGAGGACATGGGACATGAGAGGGGACAGGGAAAGGGTAAGAGAGCACCTGGGTTACCGGCCAAGCTGTACAGGGTCTCCCGTGGGGTACTGAGCACGGCCCAGTCCCCATCCACGAAGAAACGGTGGCCCACGGGGTGGCAGAGCCACTGCATGGCAGGAGGCACAGAGCCACTCTGTGCCAGGCAGGCCTGGCGGGCACTGCTCAGGAAGAAGCGCTGTAGGGGAGGGAAATGGGCTGTCACAGTGGACACAGGCTGGGGCCAGACCCCAGGCTGAGCCCCAGCTTGGCCTGGATCCCCCTTGGTAACCATAGCAACATCCCGTGTAACTCTTACCCAGGGAGCCTCTGGAGAGAGCTGCAGGGATAAGCCCCTAGCCCCACCCCACCCCCCCACCACCCACTCACTGTCAGAAAATGCAAGGTCCGTGGGAGACTGGTCTTCACTCTCAATGCAGCTGCCACATAGATCTCGGCCAGCGTTGCCACAGACACGGCATCCCCTGCACACTCGGCCAGGTTCAGGGCACTCAGCGCCAGGTTGGTGGCAGTGAGGTGCCCACCTGTGTACTTCCCTGGAAGGCAAGCAGGCATGAGGCTGTGGGTGGAGCGCAGGCAGCAGGGAGCACCTGGGAGCCCGCCCCACGCTCCATCCTACCCATGGTGTGCAGCTGGTGCAGCTTGTGGT